TGCCAACATGCCTGGGCAAATTTTTAGATTTTTTTGTAGCGATGCGGTCTTGCTCTGTTGCCTAGTCTGGGACTTGGTTTTTCCTTTGAGTATGAAGCCACGGGAGGGTTCGAGCATCGGAGAGGCAGGGGCTGATTCGGGCGCTTCCCGGATCCCCGTGACTGCCCTGTGGGGAGAACTGACTGCAGGGTCTGGGATGGACGCAGAGAGACCAGGGAGAAGGTGACTGCAACAGGCCGGGTGCAAGGCCATGGCAGCTTTGAATCCTTACAAAGGTCCCTCAAGGGAGGACCCCCTACCTCCCTCCAGATGGAGAAACTGAGGCAAGGAGCTGTTAAGCCATGGTTTCAAGGTCACACAGCAGAGCCTGGGTTTAAAGCCTGGGTTTAAAGACCGGCCATCTCCAGCCGGTCTTCCCTCCCCACTGCAAGGGCTGGGTTGCTTCAAGTGGTGACTGAGCCCCCATCCCACTAGGAGCTTTGAAGTGGAGATGGGCTTGTTCATTGCACACCTGTTGTGTGTCAGGCTCTGGGGATAAAACGCTGCCGAACAGGAAAGACATACTGTAGCCCAGAGGCAGAGGGAGGAGTAGAGGCTCATGGACAGGTGTTTAAGGAAATCTCCTGTGGAGACCGCGGTGTGACCTTGGGGAAGTATGCGAACCTCTCTGGGCCTCCATTTCTTCTGGTTTGAAGTGATGTTCCTACGACCCACCTCACTGGGTTCTGAGGGAAGCCTGTGTTCATGCACATCCTGGCGTAGAATTTCCATAAGCGCGAGCTCTTCTCTCCTTCCTGGAGGGCAAAGGGAAGTCAGATTCAGCCTTTGGAATACGTGGAGGCTGTGGCCCCATCTCCTGGGGGACGGGGATCGGGGGAGGGATTGGTCAAGAAAGCCTGCATTTAGGGGTGACACCTGACCTGGGTGTTGCCTGTGGAGAGGCAGACAGAGGAGGTGGGAAAGGCACTCCTGTTGGGGGAACAGCGTGTGCAAAGGCTCAGAGGCTGGGAGGCAGGGAAGAGGCTGGGTTGAGAGTCCAGGGCAAGAGGAGGAGGCCTGAGCTGTCCAGGACGGGCGGGGCCTGGTGGGCAGCAGAGGTGGAAGCCAAGAGGTCCTGGGGGATCCTGGGCAGGGTTGTCCAGTCCCCTTCTGGGAGGTTGAGTCCGTCCCCAGCCCACCATCCACCGTGACATCTGCGGCAGGAACAATTGAGACAGTCACCTTCATTCCTCTGCTCAAATTGAGCGGTCACAGCTGCATGCCAGGCCCTGGACGTGTCTTATGGGCACACAACGGGCCTGTGGCCCCGGGCAGTGGAGAGGTCACCCTGGGGCCAGGTCTGGTTTACAAGGTGGGGGAGGAGGCGCGGGGCAACCGGCGTTAGGACATGCCGGGGAGCTCAGTCTGGCAGGCCCAGAGGGAGGCAGGGGACGCCGTTCCCGGGGGGGGGGGGGG